ACTTGGCCCCTCTGTGAATATTGTGCCCCCTTGCACTGAAAAATCCTAGATCTGCCACTACAGCCATGCATGATGTCAACGTCTGACGTAATTGATTCGCTACAACCCAGTTGATGGAAACGCAACTGATACATTTCTTTTTTGCAACATTTTAAAACGTTTGCTCAAAATTCGCATTAAAATTGGATGGAAACACGGCTTGTGTTTGCAGTATAGAGACTTTGCAGCARGTCTAAGTGGTGGTTGCTTTAAGAGCACAACTACACTTGTAGCCAGAGGGGCTTGGTCTTACAAATTAGTCATTTAAATCATTTAAAGCCCATTATATTATTTGATGGTAACCAAGAGCTGTAAAAAAACAAAGATCAGGTCCTGTAGTTTATGCAAGCTTTTCACTGAGTTTACATTTATCCTAACATTTGCTCCACAGTCTGCTCTACAGTTCATTAAAGATCTGCCGKCATAATAGACCAAGTGATGGCTAAAGGCTAGCATCACATGAAGCCTAATTCAACATTTCAATGTGAGCAAATTAATAAAACACTGATTTGTTTTCAGTAAACACAATGAAAATGGTGATTCTTGTTTTTTTAATCTGTCTCTAAAGACAATGTTGTATGTGCTGCAGAATGGTTGCCACTGACACATTTAAATGCTCATTTTAAAGCAGCTCATGTTTCATTATGACAAACCCCTGCTGGGTTAAATTGTTCTGCAAATGGTGAACAAAACTCTACGGATAGATGGATGTTTACCGAGACAACAGTCAGAAACTAAAACCCCTACTGATGTGGCTTTGAGCGCATTTTCTCTTTCAACATGGTCTTGAAGTACACCAAAAATGAWTGCCTTTCACTTACGTTAAGCAAAGGTTGTTTTGTTCTTTATTAGCTCACGGTGTCCTTGTGTAATACTGAAAAAAAAAATAAAAATGTATGAACTCAAGTAACCCTTTGAAAAAAATACAAGGCCGGGTTTTAATTTGAAGAGAGCTGCTTAAATGACAATGAGCAAACTGAATTGATTGATTCATAAACATTTAAAGCCTTATTTATAAACCAAACATTACCAAATGATCGTTACTTGAATCAGAAACTAGCACTTAACATGGTAACAACCTGTTTCTCCAAGCAATAAGAAGAAAAATGTAGAAGAATTTAAATTAATTTGAAGTTATGAGGTTGGGAAGGTTTTCACCTCTGAAATGTGTTATCRTGATTTTCTTTTTCTAGACTGAGATTAAAAATGAGATTCCAATTCTTTCCCTTAATTATCTCTGACACCGCTGTTTAATCTTAACTAAATCCTGTCAGAAGGAGAATAAGATCTCACGACACCTGTGTGGTGCTCTTTGTCACTTTCCCCCTGCTGTTGGAGCCCGTTGAGTAATGACAGTGATGATCGATGCTGAGAGATTTTCTTCTTCTTCTTTTGGGTATCTTCATCTAAATGTCTGCATCACTTCTGCTTCCATTAAACATGAACAGAATGTTTCTCATTCGTAAAGCAAATGGTGGAGCTGTCTGCAGGAGAAAGAATCTGAAATGATTCTGTAAAGCTCCAAACATTTCTCCAGCTTTTKTCAGGAAGATAAGACTAGTTAAATAATGTGTGCAAAGAAAAAAATATATATTTAATAGAAAAGTGAAATATGTGTGTGTATAAAAAAACGCAAGCAGAGAAAYCAGAGTACCCAGAGGAAACTCACACCTGCACAAAAACAACATGTAAACTGCATGAAAAAGCTGGGAGTTCAGTTTTCTTACTGMAAAGCATCATTCAGGATGTGATGCAGTACATACTTATTGCAACTTTTTATATATATTCATTGTTTTTTGCACGTTTTACAACAGATTACATTTTCAGATGCAGAAACATTCTAAGATAGTTTTAATGTTGACATAAATCCAAGTTATTACRAAGTATTTAAAGTACGCCCATTTTATTTTACACCTTTTCTTCAGTCATTCCTCCCTCTACACCTAATCTGCTGAAAATAAGTCTTCAATTCACAATATTCAGTTATAGAGCAGAATTTACCTGTTGAAACAGCTGCATTCATCAGGACTTCTGAAAGATCTCAATCAGCATGACAAAAAGGCAATTATAAGACCCACCCTGATCACTCTGTTTCACTCAGATTTTTTTGATGATGGCGCAGTGCCACACCGTGGCAGAACTTTGATGGAGACTTCAAGACAAAATGAAGGAGAACTTGTTGAATTATAATCCTGGACAGTCAGCTGTGTTTAATCTTTCTGGCATGTGAGGCGTTTTTTGAAACTAAATTTCATCACTTGATGCATGTTTAGTGTTTTTTTATTTTTTATTTTTTTGGGAAACAAACTCAAAACTGCACCTGACAAGGACGTGAAGAGAATCATTTTTTGTTTTTGTTTTCTCCCATCCACCCTGACATGTAAAATGTATGTTCTGTCTGTGTGAGAGCACCGGGCGAGGAGCAACCTGCTCCTCTGCAGAGCTCCACGTGATTTATTGTTCCCGTTAAAATGCAAATGAAGCAATGAGCAGAGCAGAAGCAAGCGCTGTGTGGAACAATGCAGTCACCTGTAAGTACACAGATCCGTGGCACGCGCCTGCTGTTTTAATCAGCCATAAGAGAAATTTAATTTTTGCAGCTTACAGGTGCAGCCAAAAAGGGAAAAAAAAATAATAATTAAAAGATGGGATGTGTTTGAGTATATGAAAATGTTCATGGCTTTTTAAATCTATCTGTAATCCAGGTGGTTTGCAGTTCAAAGCTAAATAAGTGTGGAAATGTTTAACATGTCTGTTTTTATGTGATGTATTAAAAGTGACCGTAAACTTGTTTGGGATTGTTTCATGTTAAAGTGGATTGTAAGGTGGAGCAATGGGGAAAAAAAAGGGCGAAAGGTGACATTTTTATTCTTCTTGAATGATTTATATCTATAACAAATACTGTCAGAGGAAATATGTGAAAGAATTTGATGCTCTCTTGTTCTTGATGTTACATTGTTACAAACAGTGATGTTGGATTCCACCAGTTTCCTTTCTGATTCTGAGACCGTCAAAAACTCAGGCTGATGTCGGCAATACTGATCCGATACTGACATTTTTGTGCAAATACACCTAATGTTTTGGGAAAAATGACCACAAAATTGCTCCTTAAAGAATACAAAACATCAAAGTATGTATTTGTTTGTTTTAAACTAAGAAGCATATTGAGTTAAATGTCCTCAGTTACAGTACGGCCGAGCTAATACAGCAGAGAAAAAAAACAAATCTGACACAATCATACCAAATATTTGTAAATTGTGTTTTAAGCAATAAAATTTGAAGTAAAATAATAAAAACATTAAAATAAATTGTTTAATTATAAAGAACTACAATAAAAATGAAAGATTGCATCTCACTTTACATTACATACAACTATACAATTCAACTTTATTTGTAAAGCGATTTAAAACAACACTGTTGGCCAAAGTGCTGTGCATGATTAAAAACATAAAACATACACAAAACAATAAAKTAAGTAAAATGAGCCAATGAACCTATTTACATGACAGTACTGAACATGTAACATCTCTAGATTGAGCACATGCTGCTGCTAGTTCCCAGGCGGAAGAAAAAGTAGTTCCCACCAACCGCATATGATTATGATAATATTTCAATAGTTTAGTTACTTTCTGGCCCTGTGATGGACTTGTGACCTGTCCAGGGTGTACCCCGCCCCTCGCACTGTGACTGCTGGATATGGGCACCAGTGACCCACGCAACCCTGAAAAGGAATAAGCGTGTACAGAAAATGGATGGATGGATAGTTACTTTCTACCATTCATTTTATTGATATGCATTACCTGAAATGACTGGAGGATCAAATTATCAATATTTTGATTCTAAAGTACAACATTATTGTATCGGTAGCATCGATATTTCAGTATTGAGCTGCACATCACTACTGCCAAACTCCAGGAGGCAGCAGAGACCGCTGCATGTAAAGTTTAATGTTTAAAGGATGGATGGATGGATGGATGGATGGATGGATGGATGGATGGATGGATGGATGGATGGATGGATGGATGGACGGACAGATAGACAGATAGACAGATAGATAAACATGATCCTTGAACTTCAGTCTGACACATTTTAAATAAAAGCTCCAGACAGAAGCAATTAAATTCACACTGTGATGGTCCAAATCTGAATTCCAAAATCTCCATAAACCATCAGTGTAGGAGTGTGTTACACTGATCAGACGGTCCACAGGGACCTGTTCCAATAATACCAACAAGACACTTTGGTGGGAGTTTTCAGGAAATCCATTGGAGTCATATTTCTTTCTTTGCACAGAATGTCAGGACATCGAACAAGCTTCTACTGTGATTTATCTTACTAATGCACACGTTGGTGGGGAAAAAACATGTTGGATGCAGTTCAAGTCCAGTTCTTGGCAAGATCTGTATCCATACAAGACTGCCTTCCTGTGTCTGTGCAGCACAAAGCAGACGCATAGGGTGGCTGTCAGTTTTGATTCCACACTTCTCACTTACTGTATCACACAATTAACACGCTGGATTGATCTTTGAGGAGCCTGTTTAGCTCACAGAAATTAAGAGAAATGTTCAAATGTTTTTACATGTTCTTTTTTCTTTAGACTTATTGTGTATGGATGTGAGTATTTACTCATCTTTTCTTTAATCTTACCAAAGTCTGAGTGGAAAATCGAACACCTCGAGTGTCGGCCATCATGATTTTCCAAAGTAAATGTCAGGTTGCTGTAACGAAACCAGGGATTAGGTCAGTTTCTCTGGGAAGACCCCTCTGAAAATTTCCAACACATTTAAAACTTTGCCACCTAAATCACTATGTGACAAGCTTGACTGCATCCCTCTTCGCCTCTCTCTCCTTGTCTCTTTCTAAACTTCCTCACCGTCCCCCTCTCCTTCATGTCTTTTTCCCCCTTCTTTTTTCCGCCCGTTTTGCTTGTATATCCCCTCTACCTGTCTTTTCCCCTGCAGATGTGGTGGAAGGTGGCTCAGGGCTGGGCACCGGAGCCATTGTAGGCATCCTGGTTGTTGTCTTCTTCGTGCTGTTGGTCGCCGTGGACGTCACTTGCTTTTTCCTCAACAAGTGTGGCCTCCTCATGTGCATCGCCGTCAACTTCTGTGGGAAAGCTGGACCAGGGGCCAAGAGCAAGGTCATTGAGGAGGGAGAGGCAGCGTTCACGTAAGTAGCATTTTTTTTTCTTTTTCAGTAGCTTTTGGTGCTACCTGCAGACTGATGACTGCTGAAAGGGTGATGTCATACATGAATCTGAGTTCTGACCCATTTCTCCCTATTACTGCAAATAAGTAAATACTGAGAATAAATCACAGACAAAAACATAAAAAATACAATTAAAAGGGTCAAAATAGGTTAAAAACACAAAGAATGAAAAAGACATGGCAATTTAAGTAGATATTTTAACAGTAACAACTGTTTTTGGTGAATTATTATTTTTTAGAAAGGTCTTCACTCTCCTTTATGAACATATTTCCTTTTCACAAAACTCCATGGACCATTTTTTTAAATCTTAGAGATTTTAAAAACCTTTGAATTATTGGGAGCTTTCTAGTTTCTGTTCATTGTGCTGTGAGAAAAATTTCATTAACTGAAATTGAGATGAAACCACATAAATGTTGAATAGATTTAAATGTGAAGAGAATGAGGACCGTACAACACCAGTGACTGGGATGAACGGAGATTTAAGGCTGTCCATGCAAGCAGGAACACGTTGACAAGAAGCCGGACGTTCCGGCATATATACACATGTTCTTCAGTGCCTGGTACACCCACTACTGGCCTACAGCTGAATCACAGGCATCCCATACAGAAATTATATTTCCTAATGAATTCATAAAGGTTTTTCTATGTGTTGTCATAATGTTTTTGGCATGTACCTAAAACTATTTTAATCAGGACATTACAATAAATTATAAAAGTCGATAC